TACCCTACTGGAGAAGTTTTTGGATGTGCATAGGGATTTGAGTCTTAGAAGGTCCCATTCATCTATGTTATCTTCTCCTGGTTGTAGCTTTAAGAGACTTCTTTCTACAGAAAATAAAAAACACACCTGTAAAAACCACTCCCGGAAAAACAAACAAAAAACCAGCCCTGAGAAGCTGAGATAGGAGTCTGCATAAATTGGAGTCGTATTGCTTACAAACAGGGGAAAGAGCTTCAGGACAGCGCCCCAAAATCACGGCGCAATTTTTCCCAACTTCCTACTGTAGACAAAGGAAATAATAGAAAATTTAAGAATCGTTTTTCTTGTAAAATGCAGTCGACGAGGATGGGATTCGAACCCACGCGTGCAAAGCACAATGGATTAGCAGTCCATCGCCTTAACCACTCGGCCACCTCGTCCCACACAGGAATCTTCCTTCTATATTCTCTTATCACTCATCTCCTCCGTACTTTTTGCGTCACTTCTATCCACTCGTTAGTAAAAAAGCCCTTTAGGATTTTTATCCAAGGCTGGGGAAAAAGGATAGAAATAAATGTTCTAGGTTTGTGGCTTTGTTTTGTTTTGTTTTTTCCCTTTCCGCCTGCAGCAGCCGGGAACCCCGGTCATCACTCAGCAAGCCGTAGCCGAGCTCCGCCGCGGTTTTTCGCCCGGACTCGGGCGCACTGCGTTTTCGGGGAGCCCTGGATCCAGGGGTCGCGCACTGCAGGTCAAGGGGGGGGCGTGTGTGCTGGGGGGGGGGTCCCAGGGGCCAGGAGGCAGCAGGCGGCAGAGACCACGGCGCCGAGAAGGGCTCTCGGAAGGCTCCGCGTTTGCAAAGCGCGCGGCGCGGGCGCCCTGGCTCCTCCCCTTCCGGGGGCGGGGCCGCGGCTTCGGCTCAAGTCGGCTCCCCTCGGCTGCGCTCGGCTCGCTGCGGTAAATCCGGGCTCGCGGCGGCTGGCGGAGGCTGTGGCCGGTGGTCCCCGCTGCGTGCTCTGAGCCCGGACTGCTATGCAGATGTCCTACGCTATCCGGTGTGCCTTCTACCAGCTGCTCCTGGCCGCGCTCATGCTCGTGGCAATGCTGCAGCTTCTCTACCTGTCGCTGCTGTCCGGGCTGCACGGACAGGAGGAACAGGACCAGTACTTCGAGTTCTTCCCCCCGTCCCCGAGGTCCGTGGACCAGGTTAAAGCGCAGCTCCGCACCGCGCTGGCTTCGGGAGGCGTCCTGGACACGAGCGGTGACTACCGTGTGTACCGGGGCCTGCTGAAGACCACCATGGAGCCCAATGATGTGATCCTGGCCACTCACGCCAGCGTGGACAACCTGCTGCACCTGTCCGGCCTGCTGGAGCGCTGGGAGGGCCCGATGTCCGTGTCGGTGTTCGCGGCCACCAAAGAGGAGGCGCAGCTGGCCACGGTGCTGGCCTACGCGCTAAGCAGCCACTGTCCCGACATGCGCGCCAGGGTCGCCATGCACCTAGTGTGCCCCTCGCGCTACGAGGCCGCGGTGCCCGATCCCCGGGAGCCGGGAGAGTTTGCCCTGCTGCGCTCCTGCCAGGAGGTCTTTGACAAGCTAGCCCGGGTAGCCCAGCCCGGGATCAATTATGCATTGGGCACTAACGTTTCCTACCCCAATAACCTGTTGAGGAATCTGGCTCGAGAGGGGGCCAACTACGCGCTCGTGATCGATGTGGACATGGTGCCCAGCGAGGGGCTTTGGAGAGGCCTGCGGGAGTTGCTGGATCAGAGCAAGCAGTGGGCGGGCACCGCGCTGGTGGTGCCCGCCTTCGAGATCCGCCGAGCCCGCCGCATGCCGGTCAGCAAGACGGAGCTGGTGCAGCTCTACCAGGTGGGCGAGGTGCGGCCCTTCTACTATGGGCTGTGCACGCCTTGCCAGGCGCCCACCAATTACTCCCGCTGGGTCAACCTGCCGGAAGAGAGTGTGCTCATGCCTTCCTACGTGGTGCCCTGGCAGGACCCCTGGGAGCCATTCTACGTGGCTGGAGGCAAGGTGCCCCCCTTCGACGAACGCTTTCGGCAGTATGGCTTCAATCGCATCAGCCAGGTGCTCACGAAGGGGAGGGAAGGGGTTGGGGGGTGGGAAATGGGGAGAGAGAGAAAGGAGGAGATGGAAGGGAAGAGGAGTAAGGGGGTGGGATGTGGGGAGGGGAGAGGAGTTGTTAGGGAGCTATAAAGAGTGGCCATGGGTGGAAAGGAGGTGGAGAGGGTCCCCAGGTCAAGAAGTGCCAGAAGGGTGTAGAAGATCTGGATGCCTCCAGAGGGGTAAGTGTGCTGGAGTTTAGGGATGTCAGTATGGGCCCAGCAATGTCTTCACAGTCTGCTGATCTGTCTTCCCCCCCCCCCATCCCGCCCCACCCCCTCCACAGGCCTGTGAGCTGCACGTGGCAGGGTTTGATTTCGAGGTTTTGAATGAAGGCTTCCTGGTTCATAAGGGCTTCAAAGAGGCTTTGAAGTTCCATCCCCAAAAGGAGGCTGAAAATCAGCACAATAAGATCCTGTACCGGCAGTTCAAGCAGGAGTTGAAGACCAAGTACCCCAACTCCCCCCGCCGCTGCTGAGCCTTTCCCACCCCCAACCTGAGAAGGTTCAGTCTCCTGGCTCCTCAGGCGGCCCACTGGGTCTGACTGGGGTAAGAGACGGCACTCCACGTTGCCGAGGGAGCTGTGCTGTTGGAACACTGGACTTGAACATGGGGTGCTGGGATCCAGTCCTAGCTTTACCACTAACTAGTTGTGTGACCTTGAGCAATCCCTTTACCTCTCTGAGCCTCCGTTATCCCGTCTGTAACAAGGGAGGTGAGACTGCCTACCTCACGGAACTGTAGGGAGGCTCAGATTGAGACGCCGTCTGTGAAAACACTCTGTGAGCTTCGTACAAATGTGAAGTATTATTAATATTATTACAGTATTATTGTTATCACTCTTGTTATTATTAACAATCACGGATGGATGAGCAGTAGGAGAGCGAAATTTACGAATGGGACGGTTGAGAGACTTGAGACATGTAATAGCCAAATAGGAAAGAAATGGTATGAAGGTGTTGAAGGTGTGGAACTGCGTTCTTAGCTTTTGGCCAGAAGCCTAAACATCTCCAGCGTCTCAGGGGCCCTGGCGGAAGAGGAGGGCTAGGTCTGCAGCCTTGTTGGGGGACAATGCGCAGAAATCTGTACCCTCCTATAGGCTGGTGCTGGCTAGTTGCCTACTGATGCCGATGTGTAAATAAATGAGTGTTCACACCCACATGTGGCCCCGTTTGTCTCCTAAACTGGAGAAGGGGGGGGGTTCCTGGGTTCATCTCTTGGCAGCTGGGGGTGGTGACCCGCGGAATGAGATGCGTGATCTGCAGAACAAGATGCCCCCAGGGGCCTTCGGCGCAGGCCAAAGCCTGATGAGACCCTCCACCGCCAGTTGCCATAACAACCGTCCCGCGGTATCCCAGCATGCCTCCTCCCCAGCTGTCCAATTGGGAGCGCCTGGGCGGCGCCGCCGGATGACGCACACGGAAGTGCGCCGGGGCCCCGCCTCCCGGAGAAGCGGTACCTGCGCTGCGCTTCCGGGAGCCGGGCAGAGCCGCAGCACCTGCCGCCTTTAACGCCTGTCCTGGAGTCCGGGACGTGAGGCTGGAGGCCCCCTTCCCGGAGGTGAGTATCGCCACCCCCGGCCCCAGGTTAGGCCTCCCCGGGCCAGTCGGGCGCCCCCAACCCAACTTCGTCTCCCAGGACCGAACCGGAGACTTAACCGGCCCGACGCGTGCGAGGCCGCGGGGCCGAAGCTGGCCGCTGGGGAGCTTGCGATTCTTCCGCCCGCGCCGGCTCGAGGGTCCTGGGGCGCCGGGAAGGGGGAAAGGGGCCGGCCTTCCGGGAGGACTGCCTTCCTGGAGCTCCTAGTCCGTAAAGAACGATGCATTGCACAGCACTTCACAGCTTGCTTTTCCATCCTTTACCACTCAGAGGAGGAGTAATTAGCCCTTATCTCCGTTTTGTAAAGTTAAGGATTATGGAGGGGAGGACCCAAGGTAGTTTCGTTCTCAATAAGATTAGCGACAGCTGAAGGAAACACACCTCTCGCTCACCTCCCTCCTCTCTCTCTGTCCCTCCTTTTCTGGGTAGGAGAAGCTCTGGAAACTGTTGGGTTTAGGCTGATTCTTACAGAAGCAGTATTTTCGATGCTGAACAGGAATTGTAAATGGAGGGGTCTACAGGTACTGTTTGCACAGTTGAATCCTAGGAATGGAAAATATGTCAGGCTGTTTTGGATAACCGAGAAGTCGAGGTAGGGAAGGAATGAAGGTTCCCCTTCTCTTAGGGTTTCCAGCAGGGTCCAGTCTTTGGTGAGTTCATTGAGGAATGTGACTGTCGGGTATTTGACACAGCTCGAGTTGTTGCCAACCAACATTAACAGGAACTCTTGAGCTGTTGCTATAAGGGCCAGAGGCTACCATGAAGTAAAAACCAATCGTTGCTGAGCAAAACTTTGGGGTTTTGTAACCTACACTTTTTCAGTCCTTTATCAGCTGGGCTAGTTGACTATGATGAGTGTGTAGCTCCTGCCCCTTTGAAGTTCACGGACTGGGTAGAGAGGCAGAGTGAGAACAGACAAATACCAAGGTGCAAAGATTCCCTGGGTGGGTTGGAGCCAACTCCAGCCTCCAGGGCTACAAAACTTTTGCATGGGAAACTAGATAAGCACCACAGTAAAGCAGACGCCTTAATGGTTATAGATCCCTTGCTTTTAGAAGCTCTCCTAGCAAGATTAGCAATTCCTCCTAAATTGTTCTTTTCATCTTACTTCTTTTCTGCCCCTCCCTAATCTTCTCTTTTGCAAGAGTCTCATCAGCCCCTTTGGAGACCCAAAAGTTCCAGCACAGTCATCTTCTCATGCCACACTTTCTGGCTTGGTATTTGTACCGTCTGCAGTGGCCTGAACAGCTCTTTGATGATGACCAGATTTCTCTGTGGCCCAGTTTCTATCTAAACCTGATACCCAACACCCCACTCCCCAGCCCACTTTCCTTTCTCTCATTTCTGGATCCTTCCACACGCCCCTCACTCTGTGTACAGCATTTCCTCCTCAGCCAGTCAGCTCACCTGACAGTCCATCTCCTTGGGCAGCTCTCACTGCTACCCCGACCTTTAGGTCTTGGTTAGATCTCACCTTCCCTTTGCCTCCAGTTGTAACCCTTCTCACTTTGTGGCAGCAGTCAGCAGCTTTATGTCTGTCAGGATCTTGTCAGCTCCTAGAAGTCACAGACCACACCTGGCATATAGTATGTGCTCAGGGAAGGGAATGCATCAGAAATGTATTCTGTTTCCATACCTGTTCGGTTTATATGCTGAGCAAATTATCCAAGAAGCTGGACTCTGTGAAGAGGAATGTGGCATCAGGAGTGAAGGGAGACTCATCAATAACCTACGTTAGGCAGATGACACAGCCTTGCTTTCTGAAAGCGAGGAGGATTTGAAGCACTTGTTGCAGAAGATCAAGGAATGCAGCCTTCAGTGTGCACTGCGTCTCAAAATCAAGAAAACAGATTCTTACCACTAGACCAATAGGCAGTGTCATCATGGATGGAGAGGAGATTGAAAACTGTCAGCAGCTTCATCTTGCTTAGATACACAGTTAGCACCCTTGGTATGAGCAGTCAGGAAATAAGGAGATGCATTGCACTGGGAAAATCTGCAGTTAGGAACCTTTCCAAATTATTGAGGAGTAGTGATGTCTATTTGAGGACTAAGGTGTATCTGATTCAGGCCATAGTCTTTCTGATTACTAGCTGTGCATCCAAGACCTGGACAGTGAATAAGGATGACAGAAGACATTTGATGCCTTTGAGCTGTGGTGTTGGAGAAGGACAGCCAAGAAAATAGATATGTCTTGGAGAGGGTGTAGCCGGAGTGCTCTTTGGCGGCAAGAATGATGAGGTTTCGCCTCACATACTTTGGACATACTGCTAGTAGGTGCTGTTCCTTGGAGAGGGACATCATGTTGGGAAAGGTGCACGGAAGAGGAGGACCCTCCACCAGATGGATTGACAAGGTGACTGCTGCAGTGGGCTCTTGTGTGTTAGGAAGTGTGAGAATGGCACAGGAGAGGAGTAGTTCAGATCTTCATAGGGTGACTATGAGTTGTATTCGACTTAATGGCACCCAGCAACAACAGTGAATATAAGTGAACAACAGCAAGAGACTGGTTGTCAGTGTTTGGTGTTGCTGAGGAATTGAGAGTACTGAAAAATGCTGGCATTAGCCACGAGGAGGTTGTTGGGTAAAGCAGCAGGATCCCTTTCAGCAGAGTGATGGGTATAGGAAGAGACGGGAGCAAATGGGCACTGATGCTGCAGGAAGCGCTCGTAGGAAGAGACGGGAGCAAATGGGCACTGATGCTGCAGGAAGCGCTTGGGAGCTCGAGGCCTTGCAGCCGGGGTTGCGGCATGGAAGGCAGTGAGTGGAGACTTGACGTGGCCATGGTGAAGTTTGGATTGCATTTTCATTTTTCTTTATGATGGGAAACAGTTGACATCAAAGGATTCATGAGAAGATGCCTAACAAGGGGAGAAGCTGAAGCACATGGGAGAGGGTAGTGCTCTCTTGTGAGGAGGTGAGGAAACAGATGAGGAAAGGATGTGGAGGAGAGGGGACCTGGGTCTGAGGCTCCGAGGCTAGTCTGGGCCACACGGGTCTCTGGTCACCGTCATCATAGAGCAGGGCATGCAGACGCCGGGAGAGGAGAGAGAGTGGAGAAAGGGCCCTGTGCGTTCCCACAGTGCTTGCCAGAGCTGTGTTGAAACGTCTTGAGGCCTTGCTCTGTACTATCTGTGGAGCAAAGTTATGGAAATTTCAGAAAATTGGGGGGGGGGAGTGAAGAAAGGCAGAAGGTGGAGTCAGGGGGTCTGTGGTGGCTCTGAAGGGCTGATGGGGTGACCCCTGCAGAAGAGAGAGGTGCAGAGACGAAGATCCCTAGAGCACTATCAGAGCAGAAGAGGCCATGTGGGACAGGAGGGAGGAGGAGCCTGGTCTCTGAGGACTTGCTGGTGTGGGGGGTGGGTGTGAAGGAGTGGGACAGCTGCTTTAGTCCAGTCTGGGAAGGGCTTGGAGACCCAACCAGACATTGGAGCCCAGTTCCTTAGGGGAAGGGGTGAGCCTCAACGGTGGTTGTGTGGTTGGGGGTTTTTTTGTTTTCTAAATTTTATTTTGCTCCTCTTGAGAATATACCCAGTGAAATACATACCATTTCAAGCATTTTCCATATGCAGTTCAGTGACATTGATGGGAACGGTCTTTTTCTGAGCGGTTCCTCCCCGAGCAGCATAAGCTCCCAGTCCCTAAGCTTCTAACCTGTCTAGTGGCTGTTGTGAGTTTAAGGGGCGCTCTGATGGTGGAGTCCATAGGGAGTCACACTGCTGACCCAAAGGCAGTCCCCCTCTAGTGGTTTGAATTCACCAGCAATTCCAGAGTGAAAGATGGGCAGTCTCCCCCTGTGCGATATAACTCCTGAGAAACTCAGTGGAGGGTCAGCTATGAGATGGTTCTATCTCCACAGCAGTGAGTTTGGACATTTCAATTTGATCTTGTACAGGCAGATCTTAAAAGAACATAATGGGCAGGCAGGCAGGCATTCTTTACTAGTGGGGGGACCTGTAACTAGCTCAGAGACACACAGTTTGAGTCCGCTAGCTGCTGTGAAGAAGAAAGAGGAGCAGTTTTCTCCTGGGAGATGTATTGCCTCTGAAAACTCACTGGAGGATCAGCTGTGGGTCGGTTCCTGACTTGATGATGCACAACAACAACAGTAATTGGCTTAAAGAGGACTTCAGGGGAAGATGACCTAGAAGGTCTGGCAAAGGGAAAGAAAACTGGAGGGATCCCTGCTGTGTCCTGGCCTCGCCTCTTCCACAGGGCGATCCCTGGAGGGTAACACTTCACACTGATCCCAGGATGTTTTCCCGCCCGGCTTGTCTGCCTGCATCGCCGTCTCACAGCTTCTTTCTTGGATGGGATGCTTGGGTGACCAGCATCATTGCCTGATGAGCTTCGTGCCCTGGGCCTTTCCCAGTCCAGGAATGAGGTGCCAGTGCATCCAGCATTGGAATCACCAGCAGGGTCAGAGGGCACAAGGCTTCCGTGGGGGGAGATGTGCCTCTGGGGTCGTTTGCACTGTCCTCTCCAGCATGTGTCAGGGTGGCAGGGCCTGTCACTTGCCACGTCCCTGTCTGGTTGAGGGACCACTTCCCCATTCTGCCTTGTAGGCGGTGCTTAGTGGTGTCTCCACCCTTCTGTCCCAGAGCCCTGATGCCAGTCCACCCACCAAGCAAGGACACAGAGGAGATGGAGGTGGAGGGCGACTCCACAGCTGAGATGAACGGGGAGGAGGAAGAGAGTGAGGAGGAGCGGAGCGGCAGCCAGACGGAGTCCGAAGAGGAGAGCTCTGGTGAGCACGGGCACGGACACGCGTGCACACCTGTGCACACACATGCCGGTGCTCACACACATGCAGATGTGCGCACATCTGTGCCAGCACGCATGCACATGCACACACGGGCAGGCACACCCCAGGTATACACGCACAAGGGCAGGCACACCCCAGGTATACACGCACACGGGCAGGCACACCCCAGGTATACACGCACAAGGGCAGGCACACCCAGGTATACACGCACAAGGGCAGGCACACCCCAGGTATACACGCACACGGACAGGCACACCCAGGTATACACGCACACGGGCAGGCGCACCCCAGGTATACACGCACACGGGCAGGCACACCCAGGTATACACGCACACGGACAGGCACACCCCAGGTATACACGCACACGGGCAGGCGCACCCCCCCAGGTGTGCACACACAGAGGCAGGCACATACAGGCGCATACAAGGCCCCGGCCATCCCCTCTTCATGGCGGCCCTGACCGGCCTCTTGTCCCCAGAGATGGACGATGAAGACTATGAGCGGCGGCGCAGCGAGTGTGTCAGTGAGATGCTGGACCTGGAGAAGCAGTTCTCAGAGCTGAAGGAGAAGTGAGCGGACGCACCTGGCCTGCCCCTCGGGCTCCTGGGGGGTGGCGGGGTGGCTGGTGGGTAGCTGAGGCCTGCCCTGAAGTGGGCCCTCCACGTGTATCTCTCAGACTGCTGGGTGGGGATTGCCTTTTGCCCCCAGGTTGTTCAGGGAGCGACTGAGTCAGTTGAGGCTGCGGCTGGAGGAAGTGGAGGCCGAGCGAGCCCCTGAGTACACAGAGCCCCTTGGGGGACTGCAGCAGAACCTCAAGATTCGCATTCAGGTGGCAGGTTTGTCGGCTGTCCGGGTGTAGTCTCCTCTGTTCTCCTTTGGCCCTGCCCACCCCATGCTCTCTGCCATGAAGGCCTGAGCGAGCAGGGCCCCACCGCTTCTTCACAGGCATTTACAAGAGCTTCTGTCTGGACGTGATCCGGAACAAGTATGAGTGTGAGCTCCAGGGGGCCAAGCAGCACCTGGAGGTGAGGGGCTGGGCACCTGGGGGGTGGGGGTGAGTGATGGGCAAGGCCTGAGCCCCACTCTGAGCCCCACTGTGTGGTGTCCTCTCCCGCAGAGCGAGAAGCTCCTGCTCTATGACACCCTGCACGGGGAGCTGCAGGAGCGCATCCAGAGGCTGGAGGAGGACCGCCAGAGCCTGGACATCAGCTCAGGTGAGCCTCCCACAGTCTGGAGGGTGTCAGCACTACTCGGGCTTGGTGACAGGAGAGGAAGGCAGGCAGGGTGGGCACAGGCAGAGGGACCCCGAGCCGGCCTGCCCAGTCTCCAGAACAGGAGAGGCCAGCTGGCATGCCAGCCCTGGTCCCCTCTGTGTCCACCCCTCCTGTGTTGGCACCGCATGTCAGTTTCTCTGGGGACCCTGGAGGGTCACTGTCATTGTTCCCCCCCGCCACTGAGCACAGGCTGGGAAGCTGGCAATGCTGCCGTGGTGTTTCCCAAGGGTGCACAGCTCGTGGTCAGGGCCTGCAGCCTCCCCAGACCAGGGGTCTCCTCTGGCCCTCGAGGTGGCTAATGGGAAAGGGGGTGTCCTTGAGGCCAGTCCCTGACCCTGACTCTGGGGCACAGAATGGTGGGATGACAAACTGCACGCCAGAGGCAGCTCCAGGACCTGGGACCCCCTGCCACCCAGCAAGAGGAAGAAGGCACCCCTCGTCTCTGGTATCCTTTTACCCAGGGTTCCCCAGGTCATCTCCAGACCTGGGGTCGCTGAGGACAGATACGGTCTCGGTCACTTGAAAGCATGTGACTGTCCAGGAAATCAACGAGTGGGAATTTCTCAGGGTGTGAGGTCTCCTGGGCTGTGTGGACCAGAAAAAGGGGAACATCAGTGATGACTCCAGAGAATTCCTGAGAGAGGCCAGTCCCCACGGTCCTGCTGGCATTCCCACATCTCCCCAGACACCTACACACCCCAGACCTGCAGGCTTCTCACTCCTGTGCTTTCACTCAGGTCTCACCTCTCGGCTTCCTCCACCTTCTCTTTGTCATCTCCTCCAGGAAGCCTCTTGTGGTCTTCCCCCTGTGGCCATGGCTTTTCGTTCTCCATCCCTGTGACCTCTCCTGGGATGCCTACATCACACATGGGAGTACTGGCCTCTGCTCTGCCTTAGGCCTGAGCCCCTCCAGTCCAGGGCCACCTGAATCAGCAGCCCCGGGACCCTCCTGGTTCCCCTAGTCCCACTGTGATTCCTGAAGCAGCCAGATCCCCAAGTCACCTTGTGATGGAGACAAGGCTCAGGCAGGTGGAGGGACTGGGTCAGTGAGTGGATGGGAATGGAGACTGGTTCAAAGACCTGTGAGCCCAGCGGGGAGGTGTGACACCAGAGGAGGCTTAGCTTCAGGCTGAGAGCAGGTGTTGAGGTGGGGAAAAGACTAGGAGAAGAAACAGGTAATGATGGAGGGCCGGGTACCCACAGATAGGATGCACCTGGGACAACAGGCCTTGAATGAAGAAAGGGGAGAGTGAGCTGAAGGGTGGTAGAAGTGCACCCAGCAACCTCCGTGTTCCTGCTGAGAGCCGGGGGTCTAACTTAGCTTCTCACCTGACCCCACACCACCATGCACCATGTTGTACTTGGCAGGCAGGGCTGGTCCCTGTCACCTGTCTCCACCCTCCTGCTTCCTTGACCCACTTGCAGGCCCTTACATCGTTTACATGCTGCAGGAGATGGACATCCTGGAGGACTGGGCTGCCATCAAGAAGGTGGGCCATGTGCCGCTGGGCCCAGCCCTGCAGGCGGCCACCCACAAACCAGGGTCTCTGGTGGGCCCTCAACACTCCTGCCTCCACCCCATCAAACAGACTGCCCGGAAAGGGCCCCTTGAATGTGCCAGGCCCTCCATGTTCTTTTGAGGGAGAGTCTTGGACGGCAGTGGGGAATCCTGGCTCTCTGACAACAGTTCCCGCCGCCCCAGAGCACAGCTCTGCCCTACAGGGGTTGATGTGGAGGGGGTGTCTTCCTGGTGGGAGCCGACTCTGAGGGAAGCTGTTCCTCTCGCCCACCCAGGCCAGAGCAGCTGTGTCTCCTCAGAAGAGAAAATCAGATGGTGAGAACTGAGGCTCCACTGCTCCCCCACCCTGTCACCCCGCCAGCCCAGCCTCCAGGAGAAGTGAGGGAGAGGCACGGCCACGTCACAGTCTAGGACCAAGGGGAAGATCGCCCTAAGTTTAAGGGGTTGGGGTGTTCAAGGTGGAGTGGACAGATAGTCTTGGTCTGGAGTTGTAGGCAGAGCTGGGATGCACTGAGGTGACCAGCAAACAAGACGCTGACCTCGGTCTCCATGTGGAGGAACTTCCCTCTCCTCACTTGATTATCTCCTTGCCGTGCACCCCCAGGACTGTGACCCTGCTGTTCCCAGCCAAGGAGTCCCTCACAACCAGCGGCTGGCACCAAACCCAAGACTCAAGTTTTCCTGCTGCAGAAGGTAGACTGGCGGCCCCTCGGAGGTGCCTGGTAGCCAGCGGCTCCAGGGCTGTAGCAGGACTTCCCCTCCGGCACCCCCGCCTCTACTCTTCTCCACCCACAGAGGGGCCACTCAGCTGTGGGCCCGGAACTGACAGGCACAGGCCAGAATTCCCCTCCTGATCACTCGTGAAGACCTGCCTGCTTATCCTCCCCCACCGAGAAGATGTGCCTCTTTCACATCAAACCACCTTCCTCCTGGCCTTAGGCCCTGAGTGGGGCCCCACTACCTGTGGACTTCTAGCCATAAGTTATATTTGGGGGGCTGTCTGTGCTAGAAGGCGTTCAGGTGAGAAGCCAGGCTCCCTGGTTTCTTAGGATGTCTCTTCAAGTCTTCCTTTCAGATGGTGAGGATTGGAATTAAACCCTGTCCTGGGACTGTGTGTAGCCTTTGTGTGTCTTTGTCTGATTTACCTGACAAGGGACTGGGGCTCCTGTAGGGCACCTGAGAGGGCAGACTCGCGGAAACCCTGCCCAGCAGGCCCCTGCCACCCTAGCCTGGGGCCCTGGGCACAGGGTACTGTTCCACACCCCGTGGGGAGGGGCTAGGCTCTGACTGCTGGTGCAGTCAAGCCGTCGGAGCAACATGTGGCTGAACAGGCAGAGCACGTGGCCACGGTGGGGAGAAGGGCTGGCAGCGCCCGAGCTGGGAGCCGGTCATGCCTGCACCTGCCCGGTCGCCTGGCAGATTGGCAAGGCCTGTGCGTGGGAGGCAGCCGGCAGCAGCACCATGTGCTGACGACCTCACAGCCAGACTCCCCCTTGTTCAGCGCTGAGTGCTAGAACCACCCCCAGAACCTCAGTTAAGCAAAGGGGTTCGTTTCCATGGTGACACGCATCCTTTCTCCATGGCAACCTGAGATCCCCAAACCCCGGTTGGGCTCGGGAGTGAGTGTGGCCGCCAGGGGGCGCGCCGCCTCCGGGCTGACCTCCAGGCCCGAGGACAAGGAGCCTCTGGCCACAGACTCAAAGGTGCCTCCAGGGCGGGCCAGGACCTGTGCGGACTGAGAGGTGGCCCTCCCTCCCAGTGCATTCCTGCCTATGTGTGGTCCGGGGGGACCGATGAGGCTGCGGGGTCCCCGTGAGGAGGTGGTACCCCCTCCGCTGGGGCTCACAGAGGGGCGCTAGCGTGGAGAGGTTCCCAGTGCGCCGAGCCCGGCCGGGAACCGGGGAGGCGGCCCCGGTGGACACCCAAGAGTTAACTGGCGGGTGTGACAGGGCGCACCGCCCTCAGGAAGTGTTACTCACCGCCAGGAATGCCAGTGCCTGTGCCTCGGGATCTGGCTTCCTGGTCCCGGGAGGAGCCGCGGAGACCCCAGCCATGGAGAGTCCCGGGGAGCCGGCCGCAGACCCCCTGCGCGCCCCCAGCCCCCCGGGCCGCACTTCCGCGCACCTGGAGGGGGGAAAGTTAGTGAAATTCCAGGGGGGCTGGAGGGGGCGGGCGAGGGGGGCGCCCGCGGGGGCGGGAGGGGCCGGCCGGCCGAGGGTCCCGCGTGCCCTGGCTCAGTCTGTGCGCCCCCAGGCCCAGCCCGGACCCGACGGACCGGCTGTACGATGTGCCGGCCGCCAGCGTGGGGCAGCGCGGGGGCCCGTCCCCGCCAGGGCGCGCCGTCAGCCTCCGTGAGCGCCTGCTGCTCACCCGGCCTGTGTGGCTGCAGCTGCGGGCCAACGCAGCGGCCGCGCTGCACGTGCTGAGGACGGAGCCCCCGGGGGTGAGTGCCGCCCTGCTGCCGCCCCAGGGGGGGACTGCGCGCCGATGGAGGCGCCTGCGCTCAAAGCCCCTCCCCGCAGACGTTCCTCGTGCGGAAATCCAACACCCGCCGGTGCCAAGCCCTGTGCGTGCGGCTGCCCGAGGCCAGCGGCCCGTCCTTCGTCTCCAGCCACTACATCCTGGAGCGGCCCGGGGGTGAGCTGGAAGCCCGGGGGGCCGGGGCAGTGACAGCGGGGTGTGGGGGGGACTCTCCAGAGGTCACTTCACCTCCCCTCTCTCAGGCGTCTCCTTGGAGAGCTCGGAGCTGGAGTTCCCAGACCTGGTCAGCCTCATCTGTGCCTATTGCCACACCCGGTGAGTGTCCCTGGGTGCCTAGAGTCCAAGGGCCCTCCCCTCCCGCCACATCCCTGCTGGCCTTCTCAGGCCCCGCAAGTCTCTCACTCCCGACTTTCTGCTCCCTTCTCTGGCCCCAGGGACATCCTTCTCCTCCCGCTCCAGCTCCCCGCAGCCATCCTCCAGGCTGCCACCCACAAAGAGCTGGAGGCCATCTCCCACCTGGGCGTTGGTAAGGACATCTTCCGCCCATTGCAGGGATGGACACACTGAGGCCCAGAGGGTTAGGGAAGGCCTGTTGGTCTGGCCTGTGATTGGGCTTCGATTTGGTATCTCTTCCTCAGAGTTCTGGAGCTCCGGCCTCAACACCAAGACTCAGTGTAGCCCTGGCGAAGGTCCGCTGCTGCCCTCCCTGAAGTCTCTGTCCCCTCAAGAGTCAGACCAGGGCACCAGCGGCACTGCCCTGTGTTTCTTCAACCCCCTCTTCCCGGGAGACCTGGGCCCCACCAAACGGGAGAAGTTCAAGAGGAGCTTCAAGGTGCGCGTGTCCACGGAGACCTCAAGCCCCCTGTCTCCGCCGGCTGTGCCACCACCCCCAGTCCCGGTGTTGCCAGGAGCCACCCCCAGCCAGGTGGACAGGCTGCCTCCACGCCAGCTGCTGCGGAGGGAGAGCTCGGTGGGCTACCGCGTGCCAGGAGGTGCTGGCCCCCGCCTCCCACCCCTGCCATCCCTCCAGGAGGTGGACTGCGGCTCCCCCAGCAGCTCTGAGGAGGAGGCGCCCCCAGGGGCACGGGGCAGCCCAGCCACCTCCCCCAGCCTGGGTCGCCGGAGGCCCCTGTTCCGCTCCATGAGTGCAGCCTTCTGCTCGCTGCTGGCGCCCGAGCGGCAGGTGGGCCGGTTGGCTGCCACACTGATGCGCGACCGTCACACGGCCGTGGGCCAGCTGGTGCAGGACCTGCTGACACAAGTCCGGGCCGAGCCGAAACCCCAGGAGCTGCAGACCATCCGAGAGGCACTGAGCCGTGCCCGGGCCATGCTGAGCACCGAGCTGGGCCCTGAGAAGCTGCTGCCCCCCAAGAAGCTGGGTGAGGACCCACCCGAGACCCTGATCTCCTGTGTGTCTCCTTCTTCCTTTGAATCCTACCCCCGTCTCTCCCTACCTTCCTGCCTCACCAAGCTTTCCCCCTTTCCCTGTGTCCCTCTACGTCCGTGGGTCTGCCCCTTCTGTCGTGGCTCCCTGGCCCTTGCCTGCTTGGTCCTCCTTTCCATCCTGGCTCCCTGACCTCTGCCTGGACCCTCCCTGCAGAGCACATCCTGGAGAAGTCGCTGCACCGCTCCGTGCTCAAGCCTCTCCGGCCCATCCTGGCTGCTCGCCTCCGGCGCCGGCTCTCAGCTGACGGCTCCTTGGGCCGCCTGGCTGAGGGCCTCCGCCTGGCCCGGACACAGGGCCCTAGCGCCTTCGGGGCCCACTTGAGCCTGCCCTCCCCGCTGGAGGTGGACCAGGTGCGCCAGAAGCTGCTGCAGCTGCTCCGAGCCTACTCCCCGGGCGCCCAGATCAAGCGGCTCCTGCAGGCCTGCAAACTGCTCTACACGGCCCTGAGGGCCCAAGCGGGTGCGCCCCTCACTCTACTCTCTAAGAAGGGGAAACTGAGGCCCAGACAGTAGAACCCCTCTTCTGAGTGATTCTGTGTGATGGCTGAAGGCCCAGCTAGTGAGGGGGACGGGAGTTCCCATGAAGGACCTATAGTAGGCCCTGACCCTGGGACCCCAAAGGAGCCTAAAGCACCACTCATGTCCCCACAGGGGAGGGCGCGGGTGCTGATGAGTTCCTGCCACTGCTGAGCCTGGTCCTGGCCCAGTGTGACCTTCCGGACCTGCTGCTGGAGGCTGAGTACATGTCAGAGCTGCTGGAGCCCACCTTACTCACAGGAGAGGGTGAGGGGTCTCATTCCTCCACACGGCACACACACACACACACACACACACACACACACACGCACCACCCACATACACACCCCCTCACACATACATGCACATAGGTATACACACAGAGGCCACGTCCATACTCTTTTCACACATACTCCACACACACCATCACACACACATTATTCCTCACTGCCCACACTCCACACATACACCACACACGTATATGCACACACTATATACACACCCCCTATATCTCCCCTCAACACACACCCCCTCTCTGCACACACACTCCATACACACACTGCATACACACATTCTTCCTACCCACACTGCACACACACACTTTACACACTACACACATGTGTGCTCCACCTATGTACACACACACTTCACAGACACACACTCCCCACACACACGGCATGTGCATTTGTGTATACAAGATACACTCACTCCACACCATACACACAAACACATACATACACACTTTACTCACACATTCCACATACACATGTAACACACACACACACACACACACACACACACACACACACACACACACATGACCTTTTGGTCTGGGTGAGGCCTGACCTCAGTCAATCCCCGGACTCTGATAAGCAGGGAAAGGGGAGTAAAAACTGGTCACCCACCCCAGGCTGAGCCCACCTCTCCCGCTCTCGGCAGGTGGATACTACCTGACCAGCCTGTCAGCCAGCCTGGCCCTGCTGAGCGGTCTAGGGGCACACACTCTGCCCCTCAGCCCCTCGCAGGAGCTGCAGCGCTCCCTCAGCCTCTGGGAACAGCGTCGCCTGCCGGCCACCCACACCTTCCAGGTAACTGTCCTTCAACACACACCGCTGACCGCCCACTGCCCAGGAGGAAGGAACTCTGGAACCGCCAGCCCATTTGCTCCTTTTCATAATGGGAGGAACAGCTTTGTCTAGGTCCAATGTCAGGGTCATCCTTTCTGGAGGGATGTGCCAGTGCCAAGTGCTGCTGGGGGGCATCAGCCCTTGAATTTTCACAAACTGGACAGTGGTCCCTGGCAGCGCTGGGATGAGGAAGGTGCACAGCCAATGGAGCAGGGCTAGCATTGTGTCCACATCACAGATGAGAAAACTGAGACATGGCAGAAATAGAAAGAGGTACAGGTGGCAATCTGGGGCCCAAAGTCCTGGCCTCCAGCCCACAGCTTCTTGCAGTCGGGGCCTCAACCTCCTCCTGGATGCTGCGCTGCTGGGAACCAGGCCTCACCCTCCCATCATCCTCACAGCCAGACCCCACCCCTGGCCTCCCCATCTAGTCAGGCGAACTGTCCCAGCCTTGGTTGAGAGTCCAGACTCTGTGGGCAATTCCTAGCTCTACTACCTTGAGAAAGTTACCGAACTTCTTTGTGTCTCAGATTTCTTCCCTGTGAAATGGGTCCTTAGGGAGCTCTGGCGGCTTGGTGGTAGGGAGTTTGTATCGCCAACCTAAAGGAACACGGTTTGAAGCCGCCGGCTGTGCTGAGAGAGAAAAATGGACAGACTCCTCCCCTGCAATTTACTGCCTCCGAAAACCTGCTGGAGGGTCAGCAGAGTCTGTTCTGACTCAATAGTACATCAAAACAACGAAATGGAGGGAGCTTTGGTGGCCTTGTGGCAGGAAGCTGCACTGCAGCCTCAGAGGTGTGCGGTTCGAATCCACCAGAGGCTTTGCTGGAGAAGGAGAGACAATTTCCTCCTGTACCAGTCAGATCCGATTTGACGGTTGTTGTTGTTGTTGTTGTTAAGTGCCATCGAGTAGCAGGCGACTCATAGCGACCCTATGAAGGAGAGTCCTCGACGCTTGGGTGCCTTTCATCCTCTCTCCAGCTTCATAGGGTTTCCAGAGGCAAGCTATTATGGAAGTGGATGCCACTCCTCCTTCCACGCTTGTTTTAATCAGGGAGCTCCACCCCACTCTCAGTCCACATTGGGTAGCCAACCATTAACGCATATGACACATCCATGTCACAGTGTTCAGCCTCACAGCAACCACAAGTGACTGCGGGACGGCAACTTGTACACCAAGGCTATATGACCTAGAGGAATAATTTGATGGTACGCACACAAAAATAATAATTAAAAAGACCCAAACAATGAAATGGGTCCACTGGACCTATCTCCTGGGGCTGAGTGAATGCAGGGCAAGTGCTTAGAATGGTGCCTGGCACCTGGGAAGGGCAGCTGCTGTCCGCTGGCATGGTTGAGGGTTGTCCTTCCAACCTCAGCCCTGTGACCCACCATGATTCTCTCTCAGAGGCCTCTTTGGCACTTACCCGCCTCAGAAGACCTTGACCTTAGTTTTTCACCCCAGTTAAACCCCTCCAAGCCTTATCCCCGCAGAGCCTAAACCAGGACTGTAGACTTTCGAGCCAAATGGCAGGGAGTTGAGGACTTATTATTGCTTCTCGTCCTGCACAGAACCTCCTCCGAGTGGCCTATCAGGACCCCTGTACTGGCTGCACCTCCAAGACCCTGGCACTACCCCCCGGAACCTCCATTGCCACCCTCAACCAGCTCTGTGCCACCAAGTTCCGAGTGACCCAACCTGATGCTTTTGGCCTCTTCCTGTACAAGGAGCAGGGCTACCAACGCCTGCCCCCCGGAGCCCTGGCCCACGGGGTGCCTACAAACGGCTACCTCGTCTACCGCCGGGCAGAGTGGCCTGAAGTGGACCCACCTGGGACTGCAACAGAAAAGGGGAGCAGAGAAGACCCTGATGCGGGGAGCAGAGCAGAGGAAGACGGACCCCAAGGAAATGGGGAGGAGGTCCAAGCCAGCATTGGGGACATGGACCCAGAGGCTGAGAAGACTGTGGAGGGAGTGGAGGGTCAGGCTGGTCCTGCCAAGTCAGAGGGGCCAGAAGCAGAAGGCAGCCAGGCAGCCGAGGAGTAGCTGAGGGAACCAGAGGGGCATATGGGCTGGGGGTATCTGAGCTGCTGGGAAGGCCCAGTGCCCCCAGCCAGGGCTGCAGCCCCTTTGGTCACCCCACACCCTCTCCTGTGTCACAGTCTCTGGTGTTACTCAGAAGCCCATCTGCTGGGGTATTAGCAAAAAGTTGAGGGAACTTGAGGGGATTGAGACCAAAGGTCAAAGTCCCTGACTTCTGGTCCTCCACCCTAACTGAGTCAACTCAGCTGACCTCTGGCTTTGGGGGAAGGGCTCTGTCCTAGCTCCTTTCTACCGCCACCCCACCACTAGGGCACAGCTCTGGCCCTGGAGCCCCAGCAGGCTGAGGCTGAGGGGGCCCAGACCCAGGTGCCTTGGAGGACCTGTGGGGGCGGTGCTGGCCACACTGCCTGTCTCAGACGGAGTGTGAGTGCAGTGACTGCAAATGTGGTGAAGGCGGGTGTTAGCAACCCTCTACCCGCATGCCCTACCCAGGGCTCTCCCTAGAGAGGTGACCATCAGTCCTGAAGAGGTCACCCACGTAGAGCTCTCAGAGAAGGAACCCCAGTTCCAAACTGGCACCCTCAAGGTGTTAACACTACCTACAGGGAGATGAGCTTCTGCTCCAGGTTGGAGAGAGGCTTGGGAACTCTCCTTTGCACTTACATGGGTGACCCTCAATCTCTTTCCAGGAGGCAGGGCATCTTTATTGAACACTCCCCCCCCTGCCCCACCCCCCAGGTTCAGAAAAGAAAGCAAACTCCCAAGACGTCACCCAGCAGTCAGTAGGGGTTCAGACCTCCACCCAGACCAGAGCCTTTAAGTCTAAGCCATAGACTAATCAACCTCAAGGCCACGTAGCCCCAAAGGGACCCCCTCAAGAGACCAAAAATCTGAGCAAAGAATAATGCAGACCACTAGGGGGCACACGTGCGCAAAAAGCTTCTGAAAACACTACCCCCACGGTGGGGGGCAGGGTGGGAAGTGGAGGGGGTCCCCCAACACAGCATAAATGGTCAGGAGCCTGACACCCTTACCCTTGCCAGGCAACCCAATCCAAGCCTAAGGTCCAAGGTGGCCAGAACTCAGACACCAGGGGAACAGAAGACAATCCTGCCCTTCCCCCTCCCCCAGGAACTCAGCACAAAGGGCCACCACATCCAACGTCCTGGCCAGTTTTCTTTGGACAACACTGGGATCATTCAGATGTGGGCTACTAGCCACGTCTCCACCCCCGAAGCTGAGAGAGGGGAAGTCTCCCCTTCAATCTGTCCACCTCTCCTTCCCCCCCCCCCGCGGCCATTCAGTGCTGGGCACTCCACAGGCGCTCAATAAATGTCGTTCACTGATTGGAGTTTGACAGCTAAGAGTAAGGGCCAGTGAGATGGGAGTCTGGAGAGGGTTAGAGGAGCTGGGCTCAGGGATCACAGCGTGTACCAAGTTCAATCCCAGAGAAGTGACCTTGGGGGAGGGGGGTCCCAGTGGGTGCTGGGAAAATCCATGGAACAGGATGGACAGCTGGGTCTCATGGAAACCTGACCAGTCCAGCTACTAGAGGCCTAGGCCTCTGCAAGTCCCACCTACCTCATCGGCCCAAAAGCAGGTCCTGAAAATCCTGCTGCCTCCTGGGATCACTGCCCTTCCTGCCCTGCTTGCTGCCTGGGTCAGGTCTTCTGGTTTGTCTTCCCCAGAGTCTGATTGGTCAGGGGTCCAGGGTGGGACACTCTAAGTTCTGAAACAGGGACAGGGACTCGGGTCCCAGGCAGGACAGGCAGTGATAGTCCTGACTAAATGGTTCCATTATCCTGATTCTACACAGACAAGAAAACTGAGGCTTGGAGAAGAGTGCCTTGTTCAAAGGCAAGGGGCTTGGGCACCAGGTCCAGCGGTATCCTCCAAGGCAGGACTCGTTAAGTCAGACGCTCAGCTGTCATCTGTGGTGTCGCCTAAGCACCAGGCAGTCCCAGCCCAGGTTCATGGAAACAGCTCAGGTCTCTGCACCCTTGACCTGTGATCTCCACACTAACTGAGGGCCTAAATAGAAGCCCTGGGTGGCTGCTAACAGAAAAGATGGCAGTTCCAGTCCATCTACAGGCACAAGAAGAATGAACTGACAATTTACTTCCAAAAAAACCAGCCCCTGAAAACCCTATGAAACAATTCTGCTTGGACACCATAGGCAACTTCATGACAACTTGTATTGTGTGCTAAGGGCTCTGCTTCCCTTCGCACCACACCCACTTTGTCCTTCCCGAAGAGGAAGCTCAGGATCCTCAGGTCCTGGCAAAGATGGCCAGCCTTGTCCAGCGGGACCAGAACCCCTGGGAGTCGCAAAGTCACTTCCTCACTTGGGCATGTCGCGTATCTCACCTAAAGGCAGGGTTTGTTTACTGGCAGTCTCCCCCCACTAGAACGTCAGTGCCAAGTCGGCCGTGTTCCCAGCTAACTCTCAGGGGCCTAGAACAATGCCTGGCCGGCGATGGGCACTGAGTGAATCCATGTGGAGTCAAGACTCAGCCAGAAACGTCTGCGGTTCTTGGGGTGTGGGCCTTGCAGCCTCAGGCACTGCCACCAGGGGGCGAGAGCGTCCCATTCGCAGCCAAATGCCAGATCTCTGCCCCACCCCCACCCCCAGGCCTCCCAGGGGACAGAGGGACCCTGGCCTGCTTTAGGGAGGAAAGCAGCCGCGCAGTGGGGATGCCCTATGATAAGTTGGGGGTCTTTCAAATGATGGCGTATCCCACCCAGGGTTCCACCCCCCAGGCAGGCCCTGAGGCAGGACTTGTTCCACTCCAACCAGGACGACCACTCTGGTGACCCGACTGGGAAGGTGGGACACTGGGGAAGAAGACAGTCCCACATTGAGGGCCAGGAGCATCAGGACACCATGTTACAGAGTCTGGCTGCCGTGATCATTCACATTCCTCTACACCCCTCCACTGGCCACATATGGGGTGACACCCTGAGCCACCCCCATGGCTCTGTAACCCTGGTCCACACCCACAGTCATGATCACACACAGAAACACCCTGACCCATAGCCAATGGAACACTGCTGTGTCACATACAGGAGCCCCTGTTCCCAGGAACACCCACAGTGTCAAGCACACCCTGACAACGTCAGCTGCCCAGCCCTGGGGGGACACTGTGACTGTCCTCCTGACCACACTCTGACATTGGCCAGACGCCCACTCAGACATCCACAGATGCAGATTCAGAGACATCTCCCCATGGCGCCCCCTCCAGTACAGCCTGACTCCCTGACACAGAGCCAGTGATCTGCTGACACAGAGACACATGGTGACATGCTGGTGACACACACATGTGTGGATGGACGATCTGCCACATCGCCAGAGGAAGCTCAAACAGAGACATGTGCAAGCTGCTTACAGGGGCTTCTTGACACACGCTCGTTCACAGAGATGGCACAGCCCCCCAGCCTTCCACTCAGACTCATTCCTGAGAGTGTGACATGCTCCTCCCAAGAGGCAGCTTCCAGCTTCCTCCTCCCGCTCTGTCCAAGCATGGGAACCTCATCCCCCAAACAGTGAAACACACACACACACAGAGACTCAGAAAAATACAGGCACGTGCGCACACAAACACAGAGACATGGACTTCAAAAAACAGACGCTCATACAAACACACACAAACCCAGAGGCACACAACCATTCACATGTGCACATGCATGCGTGAGCACGTGCGGGCACATACACACACACACCCAGAAACACACAAACACAGATTTCTATTTTAGAGTTTTTTTCAGCTCAGAGAAGTGATCTAAGGTCTCCCCTCGCTAATCTCCGCTCCCGTATTCCTTCACTCCACCCCCCAGAGTGGACCCTGTCAGGGCCTGTGAATTACTGAACCCCCTTCGAGGGGAAAGGGTGGTGACCCCAGTGGTCAGGCAGGAGCAGAGGCAAGCCAGGCAGTGGTGCTGGGCGCGGACTCTGAGCTCATCAGATTCCAGCAGGAGTGATTCACAGGAGCGCCTGGGGAGGGTCTGGGAGGAGCGCTGGCCCAGCAGCTGGGGCTTTGGGGGCCTGGTGGGCTTCGGACTTGGAGGGTTTTGGGTACAGAGCATACCTCAAGTCCAGGAAGGGGGCTTCCTGAGGGCTGGCAGGGCCTAAAGGGGTGCCTGCTGGGCCAGGATCTGGGAGGGGTTCCTCCAGTCACAGCACTGAGCCCCAAGATGAGACAATCGACCCCTCCCATCCACCCCACCCCATGCCTGAGCCCTTGACCCCCAAGCCTTCTCAACCTCAACAGCTGGGTGTCTCTAGCCTGTTTAGGGTAGAGAACAGAAGGGGGGCTACTGTTGGGCTTATCTTGGCCCTTTGGCCCCTCAAGCAGATGGTCAGAGCAGATCCTAAAATCTGGCTTAGTCCCTTGTGGTGCTGACAGGGTTACAGACCCCATGTGGCTCTGCCAGGGGAGGCTGCTGCCAGAGGCTGTCCCAGTGCCAGGGATGCTTTCCTGCTGACATCGAGCCCTCTGCTCCTGCCACCCCTAGAGCCCCCTGTCTTCTGGGCAGATGCTCAAGGAGGTGGGGGCTGCTGGGGCTGGGCCAACTGCCTGGCAGGGTGACAGGAAGAAAGGATGAGGCTAGGGGCAGAGCAGGGGCACAGGAAGTGCTTTTCTTGGAACTTTGTACAGAAATAGCCTGCTCCTTCCCTCCTCAGGGTCTCAGTGTCCCAGGGGGGACATGTGAGTCTCCAAGGAGACCCCATGGGGAGGGGCCTGAGCCAACCTCCTCTATGGTTCTCTGGCCCATCCCCTCCCACCCTGTCTGCCCCACAGCGGCCTCTGCTCCACTTTGAAGTCTCAACATAAATATCACGTCTGCTTGAGTTCCCCTTCCCAGCCTGGTCACAGCCCCCAACCTGGCTCTCACCCCAGCAAGGCCCAGGGCACCACGTGGGGGCAACAGAGGGGGACCTGGACCACCCAGAGATTGTGACAAACCAGAGAGCCCAGGTGGAAATGAAGATAGATGAGGAGAGA